TATTTTTCCAGTAATTTGCCTACGGGTTTCACTGGTTATAATTATGACAGATTGGGATAGGCTTGTATATTTAATTTAGTTTGTTGTTTTGTATATCAAAAATAGTTTGTATAAATTATAACATGGACATCATTAATATACGAAATATATGCAGTACTGCAGGTTGGATACAATTTAGGAGTGATAATATAAATTATATGAATAATAATTTTAGCACACCTTCTTCTAAATGAATAAGAAAGTTATCATGAGGAAAAGCTGTTACACTCCACGTGTTATAATTATTTTTTATAATTATGGTATACTAAAATGAATCTTGAAGTATTATGCTGACATATTTTTCCATTCACATGGAGTAACTATGCTTAGAATGATACAATGCCGATAGCACCAGAAAGACAAAAGTCCTTTTCAAATGAATGAATATTTTCAAGCATTAAATAGAATAGAAAATGAGAATCAGTAAGTCCAAATATCTAGCATAATCATTTATAAGTCCCATTTACTATTCCGAGTCCTCACTAAACTGATCTCGAATCCTGAGCTGCTAAAAAACTATAAATCTAATTAATGCATTATTATCGTGCAAATACAACAACTTACACGAGAAAATATCCTTTAGAAATTTCTTTAATTAAACTCATAAACTTAGATTTATGAGTTAGACACTAATTCATATAAAGCAAGTTTATCGATCATAATAAGTGCATGAAACGGTTAATACATTTAATGACTCTTCTAATGGTCCTACATTGTATTTTTTGTTAAATAAATGTGTATTGCTTTTCAAACTTCTCAAGTACGGTAGTAGTGTTTTAAAATATGAATGAATAAATAAATCATTTTAACCTTAATCATTCTACTAGACAACGAAATTGACATAAACAAAATGATATGATGCATATAGAATTTATACTAATACTTTAAACGCAAATCAAAAATCAATTGCAAATACAATTTCACTGGCTTAACCATGATTCAGTTATACTAAGGCATGCAAGTACCATAATTGCATATCACTATGAAAAAGCCTGTGACACTACTTAATACAAAACATTCAGATAGACAAACTACTTTAATATAAGCCATGATCAATTTAATATATTGAGTTTTAAATGGCATATGTAGGAAACACTATTTTAACAGAACTTACGTAACAATAATTATTCTATTATAAATATCACTTGGCAATATTGAAACAAGAAGCTTATATTTTTTGGGCCCTGGTACTTTGAATGAGTTATCAATGTTTAAATATAATTTGTAAATTCTTTTTTGGAGTTAGCACATAAATCAGGACGTGTAAAAACCAAAATTGTGAAAACTCCAAATAAAAACCGGGCTTTATAGAGTGTTTTTTTCGGTTTTTTTTTTTTTCAAAATTACAATACTAATAAACAATTTTGAGTCCTGATACCAATTTATTTACACTATATAAACTAGTAAGTAACTCGCTAATGATGTATAAGTATGTATGTATAGTTAAACGTTAAGATTTGACTATACACATCATCTTATACCAAAAATTAAGCTTGCTGGTGGCTTAGCCCATAGAAATAGAAATATATTTTATAAGTACACAAAAGTTCCAAATTTAAAAAACCTTAATTCAGTGGGTTTTTTTTGAAACCTCCAAAAAAAATTTACTATAAACCCCAGGATTTATTATAAGTAAAGTTACCCTCAGGTATTTTTAATTTCAATAATTTCGGTTGAACCGTTTTTCATTGAAAAGTATCATATAAAGATCCTTTGTGTCCTCAAAATAGATTTTAGTTAATTATATGAACTATATACGATATATAAGGATCAATAAAACATAAATATTGGTATGCTGATAATATAATGATAAAAAGTAATCTTCATGTATATTGATCCAACAGAAACTCCTTAAATATTACATATTTGTTAAAATATAAAATATTATAATTTTTTATGCAAACCGACAAAATATTATAAACATTAATAATTTGTAAGAAATATGCAAGTAATAAATTAATTTTAGGTATGCATTCCATTTTGTTTGTTTTTGCTGCCTTATCAGCAGGGCTGTAGGAATCTGGTAAATACACTTTCTGGGCAGAAAGACCTTTTAACGCATATAACGCAATCTGGCCTTTTTCTGCATATATATCGCATATTTTGAACAAATTTTGAGGATATATATATATATATTATATATATATATCAGAAAACGACCGGGTACCCGGTCCGGGTCCCGGGTGTTTTTTGAACGGCCCGGCCTGGGACTTTAATATTTCGTTCATTCGTCATTCTGTAAGTGATGACGTTTTTTTAATAATTTTCTTGACAAATGCCTGCTAAAGAAAGTGACTCCCTTCACCCATGACTTAGCCAAAATGCTTGTGGAGTGTAATATACCAATTGCCAAGTCTGAATGTCCTGCATTCCAGGCCTTCATTGAAAGGTACTGCCACGAGCCATGTCAAGTAGGTGGTCTTGTCACACGCAATGGAGAAAGAAAGCAAGGTGAATATGAATAAGGTGAAGGAACGGCTGCAGGATCAGAGGTTGTTTGTTCTTGTGGATGAGACAACTGACAGATGTGGCAGAGCCATGACTGCAGTCCTCTCTGGGCTTCTCGATGGACGCTTCAAGGATTGGCCCTTCCTGTTGGACCTGCTTGACATCCATGCTGCCAACAACAAAAATTCAACAGGCCGTGACAGGGGCACTCTTCAAGTGTTTGGTGAAGATTTGGATACAACAGTCTACACCTGCTCATCACTGAGGAGCAACTTACTGTCTGAAGGCCGGGCGAGGTTTGAAGGAACTCTTCCTCAACATGATGCATGTCGCCTGCATCTGTCACGCTCTCAACAGGCAGCTGAATTGGTTCGTTACGAATTTCCTCTAGTGGATGAACTGATCTCTGAGATCAAGAAGGTGTTGGCAGTCGTCAAAGCCAAGAAACTGTTCAAGGACCCAAACTGCCGGGTCAGCTGGCATTCATCAAGGGCAACTTTACTCAACTGGTACGTGCAATTTCAATCATGCAAGAGCGCCTTCCACTGATGGAGAGCATTGAAATCCTTGAGAGGGTGCAGATACAGCTGACCGTTGAGCCCTTTAGCAGCAAGTTGAACAGTGTCCTGAGAAAATCTGGACTTCAAAAAAATTAAATTATACTCCAGAATTCTGAAGAGAGAGACATTGGAGCTCAAGATAATACCAAATTGTCGTTCCTCTTCTCTTGCGCTCCATTACCTCTGTGGACTGCGAAAGGGTCTTCACCAAACTAAAGTCTCTTTTGTCTAACCAGCGAATCAGTCTGACAGAGAATC